ATAATTCACTCCTAATTTATTATTTCTATTTTTATTTGTTCCTCGGGTTCCTAGCGGAACATAGGGCTTCAGTAGCGAGTCTCCATTGCACTGTGTTCTCTGCAATCTTTTCAACCTGGTTCCACAACTGCCAAGAAGCTTTCATTTCTTCCTTGCATGATCTCCTTCATGTCACCCTCGCCTTGGACTCCCAACTCATCGTTTCCCATTTGGGTTCCACTCTAAGACCAGCGTGTGATGTTCCCGAATGAATAATGCGATAGATGGAATACTCCTACACGAAGTAACTTGTCACCTGGAAAGCTTAGTGGCAACGCCAATGTCTGCGACACTAGGGTTGGAGTCTCAGGAGAGACAACACAAGGTTATAGATACATGCCAACAAGTAACTAAAACACTATGCCTAAGTTCAAGACCGTTCATGGTGTACTTCTATCACACGTACTTACACACAAGAAGTTACTATGAAGATAACTGGGAGCAAAAATATGTCTGGTATGTCTTCTAACTGAGAAATAGTGTAAGGTGGGCTACTGAGTATTTGGATATCTCTAAGGCTTTAGTGATGCTCTAAGCCCCTCAATAGGTATTGACAGAATGTTTCAAGAATTTAACTGAAAAATCATCATGTAATGACAGTGGAAACCTGAGAGCACTGGACAACTGCATCATTATTGATACATACACATTTATCGTCATTTCTATTTCACTAGTTTGTCTGAATTCTGCTCATATTACCTTTCCTCCTAATGGAAATCTTCTGACCTTTTAATACTGTCCCCCTTTTTGTCCAACTTCCGGTCTCGAATATTTGTTGAGTCTTCCTGTAAGCAGATACACTAATTCTTATAGTAATGATGGATGATGGTTAGCTATGGAATCCAATAACGCACGTTTCGTAGCATTTAGGACTCGTCAGCTGGATGTAACCGCCTTCCAGAGGGGATGATATTGTTTCTATAAGCAACAACATAAAAATACATTATTACATTTTGTCAATTTACTTACTCAATTCAACTGCGTAACATTAGGGTTATTTCTCATTTAGGTCAATAAGTTATTACTAAATCGATTGGATTATGTCAAGTTTTTTGAATATTCCAGTACTCAAGTCCAGTCGTTGGTTTCTAAGGTGTTATTGATTCATATTTATCGGCCAAAATAGGTACGTAGACAAAAAAAGACAGGCGTTTACCTACGAGGAGTGCTAAGTGCATTTTGTTAACATAACATCTCTATGTCATTGCGTAACCACTTCTACTCTCATTCACTCATTCGTAAGCATTCCTCACCTTCCGCCCTAAGTAACGTGTGTGTAAATTCGCCGAATTGATGACGTAAACCTCCTCCTTTGTATTCTAAAGTGTGTGTCATACCTTTCCTCTCACTGGAACTTTCGAAATATTAACTGGTAGTATCTTAAGTAGCCCATCCCCATATTGGAATATGCTACTAACCGTCATAGTGACTATTTACTTGTTACTTCAGGTTTTATGCGGTTGATGAGGATCGTATGAAATGAAGTGATATCATCTTACTCTGCATCCAGCTTCACTATGGGAAATGAGTGTATGAAAATCTGGGATGTTTGACCGTTGCTTCTTCTGCTTTTAAGAGCTTTTAGCAATAGGAACCCATTGAAGCAAGGTGGGTGCTCACTGATGACATTTGATGCAACCAACCCAGTGTTTCAGTGATTTTTAAATTGTTCTCAGCTGTAAACAGCTGATGAGCAAAAGAGAACTTAAGTGGATCAATGTTACCTTGCTCAGACCGTTGTTTACAGGTAATTTGCTAGCAGAAAAAACCAGGATATGAGTTCCGTCTTACATCAGGCTCTTCAGTTGAATATACCTTCCTTCTAGTGAGTGATATTGTTCCCACTGACACCCGAAATGCCAGGACAATGTTCAGTAGGCTATTTAGTCACGAGAACCACTTCTCCTCTAGAGGCGGTTGTTTGTTATCAACTGATACTTCTACTTGTTGGGATTTATCAGTGACTGGATTCCGCCTTAGATTGTTTTTGGCTGTAAACAGCTGATGAGAAACAACTGTTCGCGCCCTACTAAAAAAATCACAAGATATTCACGTTTATATAGTAATCAATAACCGTCTTTAATACATTTATTTCCAAGAAAAATCGATATCATGAATCACTTAAAGAATATTCAATGGTCATAACATCCGCATAGGAGCCCATATGCCAACAGGGACTGATCAATTCGATCCAGTCAAGGACGGTGTAGTATAAGCAATTATACCAAAACTATACTCGTCGCACAAGAAGTGTCTATCGTGGCTCGGTGGTGTAGTGGACAACGCTCTGGCGTTTGAAGCGACTGCTCCCGAATCCCTGTGAGAACAACATCACTCACTGGGAGGTAGACACATCTAGCTGACGAGTCCCAAATAGGACGAAATGCGCATCCTGGATTCCACTGCTAGCCACTACCCATCATTATTATACATAATTAAAACACGGACAATATCGAGGTTTCCGCAGAGGATCCCGTTCGCTAACAGAGACTGATCAGTTCGGTCCAACCAACGACCGTGTAATACAAGCACTAACACTAATAATCATAACCGGTTAAATTTTGATCGAAGTATAAGCTTAAGTAGGCATGATAGGGAGTTTGAATGCATAAGCAAGAAACAGGCTCCTCATGTTTCACATATTCCTACTATCTTTTGTCCCGTTTTGACAAAACAGACTTTTTTAAAAATTTAAAAGGATACTGAACATTAAGAGGATACAAAAGGTGCATTTCGTCCCATCTAAGTTTCATCAGCTGAATATGTTTGCCTCTAGCGTTGGATGGAAACTGATGATCAAATCCAGGATGAAAATCTTGATATACTCAGTAACCAACTAAGACTATTCTTCACAAATGATGTGTATCTATACCAAATTAAAGGTTTCATAGTGAAATGATGGAACTCCTTGGCCATCCCACTTATTCGACAGTTCGCGCCAACCACAGTGGGCAGGTTACTGACGAAATCCCAGGTGGTACACATGGGGCCAGTTTAATATTTTCTACCCTACTCCATCTATAATACTAGCGAGACAAGAGAGTGGACATCATCGGACTAGTATACTGTACAAAAACCCGTACCAGACTGTTTTACAGCTGTGAAAGATAAGGAGGCTGGAGGTTATCGAATATATTTGCCATTGTGGGGTATATACCGTTAGATCACTATTGATTTAATTGTAGGATATTAGCAGGATAGGCAGTCTAATTGAGGAGGTCTCTGACTGACTTGTACTCGAGGCCATGTTAGTCAAAATAGGAGTGGGTTAGCAGAAGGCTGAGTGTGAATAGGCCAAGACATGACATGAGTCCATGAAGTTTTTGAAAGCTGGTCTGAGGCATGTAAGGAAGTGTGGGTTACCCTCGGTGAGATCTTTGAGATGACGGGAATCAGTGGTTAACGATTATTTATTTGTGAAACGGCTACGATTCTGTCACAATGGTTCGGATAAAGACACTATCTGTCATCTTCAATGTTCCATTACTCGGCATTTATTGACCACCCACCTCCCCCATCTCATACGTTTTAGTTGACTTCACTCTTATTCTTTTTTTACTCGTTACCTTGAACTGTTACATTTCTGTGCCAGTCCCTCAGTATATACGTCTCCCAAAAAGTATTGTCACGTATACTGAAACTCGAGCCAGCAACTTGCTGAGTGTTTTCATTAACACCAGTAAGGAAATCGATTAGTCTTATTACTAAGGACATGTCAATATAAGGGTTAAACTTGAGCAAAATGGTAGAATGAAGATTCTATTTAACTGATTTCTTAGATTTATCACATGGTGGTGGATAACGTTTCGGATACAATTTATGTTGTTCAGAATCATATCAAGATAACTACACAACTTTCAGAGATCATTTATATAGCTAGTTCTAATTTCCTTGACCCCTTTGTGACATGAGTAGTAAGATTTTCGATATCTGCAGAACAGGTGCTGAGTCATTCCTGTAGCTACATATACTAGGTGTTGATTCGATATACAAAGACCCAGTTATCAATCTGTCCCTCCAACTTGCTATGTTAGTTTTAAAGTTTCTCACCCTGTCCCATCCTATTATATGGTTGTGTGTAATTGCATGAATAGGTACGGCTAAGCTTCTTTCTAAATTCCCTACCTTACTTGGATATACCAATTTTGACCTAACTAGGTTTTTGTGCCCTCATAGCCTGATTGACCTGAGTCGACTACTTTGACTGACCTATGTATTTGACTCCGCAATTGTTGCAAGGGATTTGGCTAACTAAGTTATTCTGCTTAATTGGGTTAATAGGATCTTCTAACCTACAAAGCTTGTTTATAAATGAGTTTGTAGGTTTGAATGCCAATGTGATGCCAACCAGCCTTATTAAGAATCCTACATAGTGTTCCTGAGTTGCCTTCTCTGTCTGGTTACACTGTAGTGGCTTCGGACTCTCTCTCTCTCTCTCTCTCTCTCTCTCTCTCTTCACAGTATTCCCACTACTGTTACCAACATAATTATTACTACGATTAACATTTGTACTACTAATACTAGTCCCATTTTTCTTACTATTCCTAAATAACTTATCAGTAAATTTAGGTGGGTAGTTGTTGATGAGTAAGGTGTCTTTAATGTATCTATTTTCTTGTCTTAGTTTTTCTGTTTTCAGAGTTTTAAGAATCCCCATCATGTAAATTAGAACAAGACATATAAGGGAACAATATTGTTTTCAATTAGATCCTCCTCTGGCTTTACTCTAATACAAATAGCATTATATATATATATATATATATATATATATATATATATATATATATATATATATATATATATATATATATATATATATATATATATATATATATATATATATAACTAATTAGTTAAACCAATCATGTAGATTTGTCGGTTGATGTGATAAATGTTTAATATAACGATGGAGATAATAATACAAATGATAATAATGAAATCGATAAAAGTAGTAACTTTGACTAAAGCACATACAATATGGATGATGATGATGATGATGATGATGATGATGATGATGATGATGATGATGATGATGATGATGATGATGATGATGATGATGATGATGATGATGATGATGATGATGATGATGATGATGATGATGATGATGATGATGATGATGATGATGATGATGATGATGATGATGATGATGATGATGATGATGATGATGATGATGATGATGATGATGATGATGATGATGATGATGATGATGATGATGATGATGATGATGATGATGATGATGATGATGATGATGATGATGATGATGATGATGATGATGATGATGATGATGATGATGATGATGATGATGATGATGATGATGATGATGATGATGATGATGATGATGATGATGATGATGATGATGATGATGATGATGATGATGATGATGATGATGATGATGATGATGATGATGATGATGATGATGATGATGATGATGATGATGATGATGATGATGATGATGATGATGATGATGATGATGATGATGATGATGATGATGATGATGATGATGATGATGATGATGATGATGATGATGATGATGATGATGATGATGATGATGATGATGATGATGATGATGATGATGATGATGATGATGATGATGATGATGATGATGATGATGATGATGATGATGATGATGATGATGATGATGATGATGATGATGATGATGATGATGATGATGATAGGAACCAAAATAGCAGCATGAAAATGTAGGCACTCCAATGATCAAAATTGGTCAAAAGCTTGTGAAAATAAGAATTACGTAATAGTAAAGGATGAGGTAAATGGACATACAAAGCCTAGACAAACACAGTAAGTATATGAAAGGGGTGAATAATCAAAAAAGTGGTAGGAAATAATAAGAGTAATGAAAACTGAGTGATAAAGTAATTAACTAAGTAATCCCTGGCCAAGGGAGAGATAAGAGATGTACAAACTCCTTCTAAATACAAAGACTAGGATTATTAGCTCGAATTCCCACAGCTTCTGCCATGTGTAAAAGACGAGCTTGAATACCTTTTTGCAGATGAGATGGTATGCGGTGTACAATCGTGAAAGCAATGTTCTTATCGAACGAGGTGAGATAAAACTGAGCTTTTGATGGAGTTTATCCATCCCTTTCCCAGCCATGAAGGTAGATGCTCAACAACACGTTTGTTAAATGGTCTAGTAGTACGCCCTATATACCTTACTCCACAGGAGCAGCTAAACTTGTAAATACACATAGAAATGGCAAAACTAGATCACTTTTGTCTGAGCAGTAACAGTTGGTTGACTGGAAAATGACATAACAAAGTTGTGTGGCGTAAAAGGTCCTTTTATTGGCTCTAGAGAGTCTCTGGTATAAAACTTCTCTAGCCACATCCCCATTAAATTGCAATTTCATAAATAAAGGTTTCTTTTGTATGATAATAGTACCAGGTTTGTTCCCCCTGGCTTTGTCCACGTGTCTTTTTATGCAACTGTTAGGGCAGTCCCTTTCAAGCAATGAATTACGGATATAATCTAACTCCTTCAGTACTTGATCATCCGAACATATTTTTCGTGCTCTGTTGGTGAGGCTTTTGACTACGTTTGCTTTGTACCGAATTAGTACATGACTAATAAAATGTGTATACTGACGTATAGATGCCGTCTTCCTATAAACACATCTACTGAGTGAACTATCTTCTCTTCTGCTTAGCAAGAAATTCAAGAAGTGTAGTTTACTGGCATCTTCTTCCTCACAAGTGAAAGTGAGTGAAGGGTGCACTTCATTAAATTTTCTTAACACTTCTTTTGTATCCACCTTCTGATCTAGGATAACGAATGTGTCGTCAATATAACGGTGATATATAGTCATCTCTCTAAAATAGTAAGTTTTCTGGCCCTGTTACTTAGACATTTTATTAAGCCAACTTCAATTGACATAGAGTGAGACGATTTGAATGTAAAGGTTTTCTGTAAACACTGGTGTCTAAACTCCCAACTTGTTTCTGTTCTATTCTACAATCCAATATAATATGACCGGTCCACTTGAAAAGTTGACCAGCCTAGCTTAATGCATTAGTAATGGAGGAATGAGCCATGCTCACAACTGAAGTACTCATGATTTCTAAGGATTACTCACCTACCTTCTTTATATAGTGTGTAATATTACCGACCAAAAACCTTACAGAAGCCCAAAATTCACGAAAATCTTCACAACCAATCAAAATATTGCTCATCTCCGAGAAATGCGCAACGAGCATAGGTGTAGATATTCGATTTGTTACAAGAGGCAAAATTAAAACAGAGTGAAACCCGGTGGGTGTATGATAATATGTTATCTATGAAACTTCACAGTCTTGGGCTTCATCACTTACTGGATAGTCGATGTACCCAGCTGAAGACCTCGAAACCAAAGCTAAACAGCTTTCCAGTGATCCCTGGCAACATACATGGAAAAGTATATTGCTTTACATTCAGATGGGATCTAAATAAAATCATCAATTTTTGAAGAGATTTCAGATTTGAAAGCGTTATTCACCTCAACATCAAAAAGTTTGATCTTCCACATTAGTGATCGATCGAACTTAATTGATCAGTTTTTGTTGATATTTGGCCTCCGTTTAAAGACATCTTTAAAGTTGATATTCAGCATCGACTGGCATCAGTTGGAGAGATAATGGAAACTTGGGAGTACTAGACAGCTGTTTCGTCCTAGTATGGGACTCTTCAGAGGTGACCACTCATCACCCCGTCCACACTTGGGATTGAACCCAGAACCTTAAGGTTCCGTGGCCAGCGTCTTACCATTGAGCCAAAGATTGGTCGAAAACTAATGGTTCATACATATCTCATACTTCTGTCAGTTCACCTTTAAAGCGACTTTGAGAATAACTGAATCATATCTGGTAGTAGGTTGCAGTGGAATTCAGTTTGTGCACTTCTTCTCAACTTGGAGCTATCACCCGAATCTATATCCCCCACCGTGTCCAGGAATATTAACCACCTCAGAGACAGTAAGTCAAATGACTGACTGATACATGTTGAACAAGATGTGTTTGTCTTAATTATACATCTTAGTGATTAGCAAACTCTGGTGCTTGAAACGATCATTTCTGGGTTCGACCCCCAGCAGAAGCAGGTGGATCTAGATAGCCATTATTAAGTAGGATGAGATATGTTTTAGATTCTATGGCTGGACACTATTCAACTGGGTTAATCCTGTAGACTAAACCTTCAAAGTAGATGGTTAACGAAGCAACAATAATCTGCAACAGAAACTTTTGTTAAGCGTATACCACCCCTAATAGACGCTTTCAGTTGTCTTCACTGTTCTGAGAACATTTGTTGCCTAATCTGTTATCAGTAATCTGTCACATGTACGGGTACTGAGATGTCTGTTACCTGTTAATGCGAGTATCCTCGGGGGACTCAAAGGAGGCTGTGCAGAATGACATATATAAGTTGGGGCACTTATACCCACAAAGTTTTTCTTTAGTCCTAAGTTCTTATTGAAATCTATCGACCAAGCGCAAAATTCAGCAGCGCCAACCGTTAGTCAACTTGTGTACACAGCTGAGTGCCACATGAAATCACTCCTGGTATGAACACCTTACTGATAAACCCTCTGAATTCAGTACTGAGTGTCAGAGGTTTCCACCTCCAAGATAGCATGGATTGTCATACAGCTGCAGATACATCCCACTGATGAGTCACAATAAGTACAAAATCAGAGCTGATACAGGACTTCTCTCCAGTCAACTCAAAACATATAACACTATCAGTATTTTATTGAGGTTCATTTCAACCAACTCGGTCAACGTGCTGACATAAAGAAAAGTAATATCAGAAAAAGGCTGGAATAAAACTGTACCTCTTTTGCAATCTGGGCAGTCTTGCCAGCCAGCTTCAAACATAGTGTGGACATTCCATGTCACCATCCTTACTTTCGATTTCATCGAGAGAAGAGAAGACACATCAACCAATTGGCTTCTCGAAGGCTTTCATCAACTGGCGTCATTTCGTCTCTCCGATTCCAGTGAGGAATAAGTTTGTTTTTAGGTTTTATGATTTCTTTGTGCTTCGAAGTTTGTTTAGCATTTGGATCGGTTTTTTGGTGTAGGGTTGCTATCCGTATGCCCAAGCTTCCCTCTCTACCTAGGCTTAGTATCAGCTAGTAACTAGTGAACTAGTTAACCAGGCGAGGTTAAAAAATATTCTACACAAAATCAATTCTGTAATGATTTCCATTGATTTCTGACAAATTTTAATTTGAAAGTGGGTAGTTAACCAAAAAGTTTGATAACTTTGAAGGTCAAGAGAGTAGTCAATTGAATCGTGTAGTAATTGGAAGATTTACTTGAATAACCAAGCTGGAACTATGAAGTAAATTATTGACATTCTCATTACTGATTACCCATAATCCAATCAAGGCTAGCATACAACTTTCTCGTCTGGTTTTTACAGTTCCGTTGATTTTCATTCTTTAGTTCATTAGGTAGTAAAATCTTCTACATATCGAGAAGTGATGTGATGTTATTCCTGTTACATGTGACGACTGGTATTGGTTTGATGAGCAAAGCTTCAGTTACGAATCTTCTCCTCTCTTTGTACACCTACCTACATCAGTTCGTGAAACTGTCACTCTGCCACATTCTTTAGCATGATTGTGTGTGACACCACCCATGTATTCGACCTCACAGTCGGTAGAACTAATTATTGTGTTTAATGGATTCCATAGGATTCTTTAGACGATATAGTTTACTCACTCTTTTAATGAGTTTGTAGTTTTACAGGCAACTCAAACGCCTGGTTCATTGAAAACTCTATGTACGGCTTATCGTGTCCATTCCTTATCCGATAAAATTATGACGGTTATAAACTGCCTTCCCCTTTTTCTGCCTTACTAGCCGGTCTTCGTCCCCTAACATTCAATGAGATGACCTAAAGTCTAAGTGCCGCCTTTGTCACTTTTTACTTCATAGGTGAAGTGGACTGCATCATCTGTGTAAGAAAGAAATGTGTCGATAGGTTCTGATTTCAACACCGCACCAGGTTCTGGAACACAGACAAGCTTACCAACACCCGACAATACCTGTATTTCTCGACCTGAAGGTGGTATTCGACTCCGCTGATCGAGAAGTCTTATGGCAATGTCTATCACTAAAAGGCGTGCCGAGTAAGCACATCAATTCATTGAAGGCTGTCTCCTTGAACACTTGTGGGCGTGTCACAGTCTATGGTGAGATGTCCAGGGAGCTATGCTCATCGAGTGGTGTCCACCAAGGGTTCCCACTGTCTCCATTCCTATTCAATTTTATCATAGATATTCTTATGGAGGTCTCCCTCTCGTCACCTGATTACACAGAGGTTGACCTAATCTCAGGAAAATTCTCATTAGACCTAGAATATGCAGATGACATAGTCCTGTTAGATGAAGACGCTGACAAGATGCAGGGTCTTCTGAACACTCTGAGTGGCAATTTGAGAATGTTTGGGAGGTGTTCCTCACCATCCAAATGCAAATTGTTGCCCTACGACTGGTCTTCAACAGTGCCCCACCGTGGCTAACAATAGAGAGTGTAGTGATTGAGTGTGTTAACAACTTCACCTTCCTGGGAAGTAGGATCAGCCCTGGTGTCTCAGTGGCCGATGAAGTCTCTGCACGAATATGAAAGACTCGGTTGGCTTTTGCCAACTTACACCACCTGTGGCACCTCCGTGATATCCGGTTGTC